GAAGGTGGCAAAGAGCGGAGGCAGAGGTGGAAGTGGCTGAAGGCTTTATTCTAGGGTCCCTCCCTTAAGGAGAGACCTGGAAGGAGCACAGGGAAGCAGGAAACTTTCAGAGGTAAGGATTACCTTCATGGCTACATTTCAAATGAGGAAATGAACAGATGAGTAACAAAGATGCTTTATGAAGCTTATTCTCCCAATAAATAAAAAAGGGAGAAGTACTACATTTCTAATTATTAAAACAAAGTACAACAGTCATTTCATACACACATCCAAGTTACTGGCCATACAAAAATATTGATGGATTCATATTGTGATCACAAAATGATTTTTGATTTTTGAGAAGGTCAAAAGATTTTAGGTAAGTTTTTGCTTTATATTTAACTATACTTACAGAAGCCTGGGGTTAGTCTACAGTCTGTCAGAGAACACATCCCCCACACTGATGTTGGTGAGAGGTGGAGTTACAGATGAGATGGTCTCTATCAAAAAGTTAAAAATCTGGATCTGGAAGCCCACTGCCCCCCGCCCCCATATTCTTCTTCCTTTGCTTGGAAGTCAATGAGTTTCCCCTCATTCCTCTCATCCTATTCCTTCCCCTGCCCCAGTCTCTGCGCCCCCCCAGCCACTCCTCCTCTGTTTCTGTCCAGAAAGGGGCAGTCAGGTATCAACAAAGCATGCCATATTGACTTGCAGTAAGACTAAGCACCACCCCTTGTATTAAGCCTGGGCAAGGCAATCCAGTATGAGGAACAGGTTCTCAATAGGCAATCAAAGGATTAGGGACAGCTCCCGCTCCCATTGTTTGGAGTCCCACACATAGAGTAAGCGACACAACTGTCACATATATGCTGAGTGCCTATGTTGGTTCCAGGCAGGCTTTCTGATTGTTGGCTCAGACTCTGTAAGTTCCTATGAGCCAGGTTAGTTGTTTCTGTGGGGATTTTTTTTATTGTTTTTGTTATCTCCTTGACCCCTCTGGCTCCTACAATCCTTTCTCCCTCTCTTCATCTGAATTCCCCCAAGCTTAGCCTAATGTTTAGGTGTGGGCTCTGTGTCTGTTTCCATTAGTTACTGGATGAAGGCTCTCTGAAGACAATTGAGGTAGTCACCAATCTGATCATAGAAGATGGCCAGTTCAGGCTACAAATCACTATGATAAGAGTCTTAGCTGGAGTCATCCTTGTAGATTGGCAGGAGTTTCCTTTGCATCAGGTTTCTACTTAAAGGACTTTTGAAAGTAGACTGTGCTCTCTCCCTCTCATTCACCTGACTTGACAATCTTCACTTCTTTATATAGTTAGTTAAAAGATCTTTTACACTTCACGTAGTGGCTCTGGAGTCAAAGGCACATACCAGGTATTTCTGGGTTGGTTAACACCCAGTAGAATTCAAGAATTCTACTTTTCGTTCTGAGTAGGTTTTTTGGGGCTTGTATATTCCTCTTGTTGCCCTGAGAAGAAATAATTACTCACCTAACAGTTCCCCTAGTGAGGTCACAGGATATACATTGTAATCCAAATTTCCATTATAGACCTAGACAACTCTTATTTATTACTCTTGTAGGTCAAGGCACAGTTCTACATGATGTGAAAGTTAAGTCGCTGCTTAAATTACTTCCTGTAAATAAGACTCATTAACCGTATTGACCTGAGAACACTTTCAATTTTCAATGCTGCTCAGTCAGAGTCCTGGATTAATCCTGATTCATGGAGGGTCTGGATACATGGAATATCCAGCTTCGATCTGCTCTTTGCCTGGGAGGATTAACCTCTGGCTCCTCGTAGCTACATGAGCCACTCCACAGTATCTGCAAACATTCACTTTTCTGTATCTGAAGCTATGGATTTGGTATTCACATTAAAATAAGAGAAAAGAATAATAAGATATATGATTTTGATTTTCTGAGGAACTGTGGAAAAGGTTGTAGAAATTGACTACACCTATACTCTAAGACAACAAGGTGCTATCAGTCTAATTAGGAAAAGACTGAAGTGACATATTTCTGATATAAATAGTGTAACTTTAAATTTTGGGGAAAATAAATATATTCAGTCTTTAAATTTCCTAGTCATTTTTAAATGTATAGCAACTTGATTTTAATAATATACATCTAAATGTAGAGCAATTTTGTTGATACTCATTTTAACCTAAAGTAATATAACAACACATACACACATATACATACACACACACCTTTTATATAATTGTATCAACTGTATAATTATATGTCTATATTATATATAATATATATACATATATGCATGAACTTTTTTTGGAAATGAAATTTTAGCAAAAATAAAGCATGTATTAATTTCTTTAGCATGTATGTCTTTTTGACACATTATCATGAATTGTATATAATAGGGAGCTAAATTTCATCTGAATGTCAAAATGCTTTTAACTCATATAAAAAAATTGTGTAAATGAAAACCAAAATTCTACCAGTTTTTAATTGGCATTGTCATTGTAGGTCATTTACTGATAATAATAACAGACTAAAAACCATGCGTGATGACAAAAAGTTAAAAAAAAATATGCTTGCTAGGATCATTTCTACAGAACAGTAAATCTATTTGTTTTCCATTTCTCTGTAAAGTGATCATTTATGAAAGGTTTAAAGTGCAACATTCGTTTCTTACACTCAAAAACATATTGTGGCAGGAATGAGTCACATAGTCCTGGAATATCTGATGTAACTCCTGGCCTGACGGATGCAGAGACATTGCCAAGATGATGGGCAGAGTTCTCCCTGAAAGTGGTTTTGTGTTGATTAGCCTTGCAAAGGGCAAATAGTCTAAAGTGGGCATGCTCAGAGGGAATACAAAGCAGCAGTGGGTGGGGGAATGTTTTAGGATATACCACAGGTCCCAAATTATACACATATTTGAAATTCCATCTATGGTAGCTTTTCGTTGTACTAAATCCATATTTCTGATTTCTAGGAAGATAAATGTTCACCAATGAGGTCTTTATCCCATTATAAATATCCTATTATAGCTATGGATATCATATTCTAGATATATGGCAGGCACAAACATAATTTATCTGACCCCATCTTTTATTAGGTTTGCAATATAGATAGAACGAAACAACAAAGACAAATGGTGGCATTTTTAATGTCAAACACCACTATGGAGAATTGAACTGCAGATAAATTCAGCATGCTCTAGAGTGAGCATGTATGCATAAATACCATTTGGTACTTACATAACCCCAAAGACAAAGACAGAGATTCTAGGAAGGATGAATTATAAAAGTAGGGAAAAAGACATGATGAAATAAATCCATATGTGGCTATATGTGAGAAGGCTTGCTGGGTCAGAATAGACTTTAGCAGTTAAAACTGTTAAGGGAAACTTTGGGAAAAGTAATCAAAATGCCACTGCGATAATGGAAAATGCTGCTTTGTTTATATGAGACGATTTCTGGTCTTTAAGCTACCATGTTTTGTTTTGTTTATCTGAGTGTGTGTGTGTGTGTGTGTGTGTGTGTGTGTGTGTGTGTGTGTGTGAAATTATTTAGTAATGCCATAGAAAGATAAGAATGAGGAGATGACCAGATCAAGGTAACATGTTATACACTTTATGGTTTTCCTAGGATCTCATTTGGTTTTTCCATGTCTACAAATCAAAACGCTGACTGTTTCCTCATAGTTTCTCAGTAATAATTTTTCTTTTGAATTAATATTTAATACATTTGTCCTTCCTAAGTCACTAGGGTTTTGAATTAAATAGTGAAAGCTTTCAAAACCATGATTTAACTATTAATTGCTTTTATATTCTAGAAAGAATAAGTGGACTGATACAGTAGATAGTGTTGGAGTCCTCTATAATGCTTTAAAACTGAGAGAAGATGGTTGTCAATGTCCTGGCAAAGTGGAACAAAATGGGTTGGCTCTAATGAGACCCAAGAGGAATGCTTTCACGAATGATTTCAATCTTACCTGAAACAATAACCTGTCTCAGTAATGTTGTTTTATGGAGTGAGGATCATATGAAAGGTCAGAATATAAGTGTAGGTAATAATAGGAAACTTCCATCACTTGAGTTATGCCAGGACCCATGATGTCACATCATCCATTTATGCAAATCCTCTTCTGTGTTCCCATGCAGCTTTAAAAGATGGATAGTATTGTCATTTCCTGCCAGGACACGCCCTAAGGTCACACCAGCCCTAAGTGGTGGAATGAGGATTCAGAGGGGTCCAAGCTGATTTGGAGTCCATGAATATCTTACACCAAATAAGCAGAGAATATTTAAGCAAGAGGACAATGCAGTTCACCAAAACAGTTTGGTGCATGGAGAAAAAACATCCTGCTGCTCTTAAAGGGGCACTCTGCATTTACCCATCACTCTTCCTCCTCATAATATCGAAGCAGGCCTGGAAACACAGCTCAGTGGCACAGCACTTACTTAAGCATGTGTTAGGCCCTAGGTTTAATTTCCAGTGCCACAAAAGATAAAAATTAAAAAATAGAAATAAAAAAGTGAGCGTCACAAATGGCTGTTTAAAGAAGAGGAAAGAAAACAAAGGGACACAAAAACTGGAAGCACAAGCAGCATCTGTTGGGAAGCTCTCTTTTTCCAACATGAGCTTTTGACAACTCTGGCACAGTGTACCCCTCTGCGGCTGTGCGGGTCATCTCTGGGCACTCTGCGTCTACCTGTCTGCTTGCCTGTTTTTGGATTTACGTTACCAATTCATGTTTTTTCTCCACTTTTCATAGGAATTTTAGGGTTGTTTTGCCTGGTTCTGTGATAGCCATTGGTATATTAATGAAGATGGCATTGAATCTGTAAGTTGCTTTTGATAACATTTTTGCAATATCAAGTGTTTTAGCTTCTAGAGGATTTTTAACATGTTTTTCAAAATCTACAAGTTTTCTTGATAGAGGCCTTACATCCCCTTGGTTCGGCTTGTTTATAGAATTTTTTTTAAGACGGGGTCTTAGGAATGTAATATTTTCCTCTTTTTGTCTCTGTGTGTGTATGTAGTGGGGTACTCTCTCAGACCGGAAGATGGTATCAGATCTCCTGGAGTTAGAGGAGATTGCGAAGCACCCATCACAAGTGTTGGTAAATGGACTTGAGATCCTCAGGAAGAGTAGCAAGCTTTTTTAACCACTGATCCATCTCTGCACCGTATGTGTTAATTTTTGTATTTTATCTTATTTCTCTAGCTAAGACTAGAGAGCTCTACAAATCTTATGTGGATAATTTCTGCAGTATGTTTTTAAGCCACAGTTTGTTGATGTTACCTTTTGTTTGCTCTCTCAAGTGGGCTGATACAGTCATTTCAGATGGATTAGGGAGAGCCAAATTTAATGATATTTTATATCTACTCCTTCTCATTATTTGCTACTGGCTGTTTATTCTTTTACTTTTGCTGGCTATATATTTAATAAACTCACTTATACAAAAACAAGTATGTGACTATCATGTATATACAGAGCAGAAGAAAATGGAATCAGCCCAGATATCTGTGAATAGATGAACAGATAAATGAAAATGTGGCACACATATCCAGTAGACTTTTATTTAGTCCTACAGAAGAAAAGGATCTTGGGATATGTTCTTTGTCATATGCAGATACTATCAGCTAAGTCTAATGTGTACTCAGATAAGTGAAAACAGGAGTGAAGGCCAGGAAATTAGAAAGGAACCCATGTGACTGGAAAAACATAACTTGAATGGAAGAGAGTGTGTGAGACAATTTAATAAAAAGCAGAAGGGGGAATATGGGAGTTGAAAGAAACAGTAGAGAATGCAGGGCAGGAAGATGAAGGAGAGTCAGAAAAATCTCGTATGGAAATAAGTTACTTTGTAAGCTAATTTAAAAAGTACCTTAAGTGCACTTATGGAGATTATGGCCTGCTTTTACCTTTCCTTGCCTGGGTTGCTTAACAAAATGTTGTATAAACTGGGCAAGCAGAACCCATAGGAAGGTGACCACTGAACTTTGCTAGGCAAAATGGTCCTTCAGGTTCCTCTTCACAAAAGAAACTGCCAGGCATTCTACAGGACACAGAGAGAAACAACTGAGAGGTGCTAAGCCTATAGACTAAAGAAGGATGCCCCAGTGTTACAGAGGAACTTTGGGTAACTGTCCAGGCAGTCAGCTGTCTCTGTCATTCTAGATTTTTGAAAGTTGCTTACATTACTCTTCCTGTTTACTTAGTAATATTATATCTTTCTGGGGTCTTTGATGTATTTGAAGACTAGATAGTTATAATTATGGTTTTCCTTGGTTATGATAAGAGATAAAGTAGATGTGAAACCTTAGACTCACAAATATAGGATAGATAGGGTATTTTCTTTAATTTTGCCAAATATAAATAGACTAGATATTGTAACTATAATTCTTGCTTGCTAATTGTTTTGTTACTTATAATTTTACTTTGTTGAAGTTAAAACCTTCCTTTTAAATAGAAAGAAAATGGAAAATGATGGGAATGTCATTCTGTATGCTGTGAATGTGTGTTGCTCTGATTTGGTTGATAAATAAAACGCTGATTGGCCAGTAGCCAGGCAGAAAGTATAGTATAGGTGGGATAAGCAGACAAGGAGAATTCTGGAAAGAGGAAGGCTGAGTCAAGAGTTGCCATCCAGACACAGAGGAAATAAGATGACAAGGCAGAACTGAGAAAAGGTACCAAACCACGTGGCTAAACATAAGTAAGAATTATGGGTTAATTTAAGTGTAAGAGCTAGTCAATAGTTAGCCTGAGCTAATGGCTGAGCAATTTTAATTAATATAAGCTTCTGAATGATTGTTTTATAAGCAGCTGCAGGACTGGGGAAAACTTATGCAACAGCCTTGGTGAGAGCAAAGTTGAACGTGATGCTTGTGTCAGGTGAATCTTGGCATTGCCGGGCTTCTCTAACACACAACATACTGAGACAATTAATTGCTTTGTGCAGCCTGAGCATGATGATAAAGTTGACCTATTTCTTTACTTGTTCAGTCCTAAAATCCTCAACTGGCTCAGGGTGGCCAACTTTGTCTATTGTGTCCATAGCTCATTCTTCTAATTTTTCCACTGGATAAAGTTATGTGCCCAAAGATGTTATTTTCACTCTCAAGTTGATGCTAATGGTAACCAAGTGTGCCAGGTATCCATTAAGATGCTCTGTAGCATATTGAGAGGACAGATGTGGCATGGTGACACGTGGTTCTCCATTTGCTTTTCTTACTGTTCCTTCTCATATTTTCTTTCTCTATCTTGGAATTTTTTAACCTCTTACTAAAATATTGCCTATTTTATTAAAATATTGAGGCTTTCCTCACAGTGTTGTAGAGATTCAATAAACTAACTTCAATGGTTGGGTTGTTCATGCTAACTGTTAACAGATTGTAGAATCACCTGGAAAACAGATCTCTGATTTTATCTGTAAAAGGTTGTCTTGATTTTATTTATTAAAATATAAGGACCTATATATTTACAAATACAGCTTCCCTAAACAAGTTACTGTAATTTGCTGATAAACATTCAGACTCCATGAAATAACGTGATAATTCCATCACAGAAACTGATCCTGTAACTTTTTATGAGAGAGAAAATTGATCCATTACAATACTTACATGATGCATCCTTTTTATACATGAATAGAGAATTATCCCAGTATGTTCAAGGGGTTGTTTCTGAGCTTTCAGGGGGATTAGTGTCTTTGATGTTTCCCCTGCTTTACATTTTTTACTTTTCTGTCTGGACTATGGCAGTTATTACTGACTTTGCAGACATGGTTATACAATTTGGCTGAACCTGAAAGAAAATTTGCTTAAATCAATTTAACTCTGATGCGGAAGCATACTCCCTCAGCTCATGGAATAATGATGCATTTTTCAACCAGAGACTTAAGGTACACAATTTTTCCCCCAAATGCTGATGAAGAAGGACTATATGGACTCTTTGCGTGACAAGAACAAGTTTGGCTGCTGCCTTTTAAACAATATATCCGTGCTCATATTCTCAAAGCTCCCCACTAATTCAATTAACATATTCCTGAGAAGTCTGTTATTTATATTTGTTATTGTAAATGTTATAATTGTCAAAACAAAATGAAAACCACAGTTTTCACTTGCAAATAAATAAAAGACAGTTCATTCTGCAGTCAGAAACAAATGGCTACTGCATAGGAACACAGACTTAAGCTGTCTAAAATGCTTTGTTCTATCATGGCAAGAGTTTTATAAAGTTTTTATGTTAAAAGAACAAAGAAAGGTATAAATCAAGGCACTCTTAAAATGCCTTAGTGGGAATATCAGTTACTCAGGCTACAGCAGGACAGGGAAATCTTTTAGGCATTGGATGCTGCTTGATATCATTCATTGCATTTGGGTTGATGGAAGGTAAATTTCTGCTGGTAGAATCTAAAATTATTTACCCAAGCTGGGGAGATGGCTCAGCAGGTAAAAAGCTTGCTACACAAGAGTGATGACCCCAATTTGATCCCCAAAACCCACATAAAGGAAGAAGAGAAGTGACTCTTCAAAGCTGTCTTCTGACCACCATGCATGTGCCATGAGATATAACCTCATAAGTCCAAACACACACACATAAAAATGATACACACATACCATAATAACAAATACTTTCAAATCTAAAATGCTTAATGTATTTAAATAATATTCCCAAGGGTGTGAGGTCACACAAAAGTGGGTAATAAATGACTGTATAAGGAGCTAAATAGTCCAAAGAAATGTGCCTCTGGATGTGCATAATCCCAACTTGCCACGGTCACTGAGGTTCTAATTTGTCAATCAGCTTTGTAGAATCATTAAGGTGTGTGCAGCTGTTTTTCTGGGTACTTCCGTCAACACATCCAAGATGGATATGTGTATTTCTATAAAGCATGTAAAGTGGCTTCTTTAAACTAATGTTGGCAATTGGTCACACAGAGTGGACAAACAAACAATAATCTAACTCTCAGACCTCCAGGGAGCTGTGAGTTAGCCTAAAATGGTTGATACAGGAAGTCCAGGGAAAACAGAAGTAGGCTGTAATGCAGTATGTCATACATATTTTCTATATGGAACCTTGTATTTAATGGCCAAAATTATACATGGATTCTTTTGTCATCATTTATTAACAAGAATAGTAAGAACTGGTGTTGGGAAATGGTTCAGTGGGTAAAATGTTTGCACCATCAGCATAAGACAAGGGTTCATTTCTCCAGAACCACATTAAAATTAGGCATGAAGTAGAGGCGGAGGATCCTCAGAGCAAACTAACTAGGCAGTGTAGCCTAAACATTGTAGCAGGAATCCTTTTTTTTTTTTTTTTTTAATTTTTTGAGACAGGGTTTCTCTGTGTAGCTTTGTGCCTTTCCTGGAACTCACTTGGTAGCCCAGGCTGGCCTCGAACTCACAGAGATCCACCTGCCTCTGCCTCCCGAGTGCTGGGATTAAAGGCGTGCGCCACCACCGCCCAGCTTTTTTTTTTTTTTTTTTTTGTGGCAGGAATCTTAGAAGGTCTTATTAATAAAATCAAACCTGAGCCAGGTATTGGGGTGAATGCTGGAAAATCAGAGAAGCAGAACAAGCCACAGCCGCCTCACCTCACCAATTCCTCAGCTGATCCTGTTTCCTCTGACTGGAAGCCTCTGAGTCCTTATCCAAATGAATCTCCAATGAACTGTTTCTTGAAAGCCTGAATGCTTAACCAGCCAAAAGCCAAAAGTTTCTAGTTTCTGGTCCTCACGCCTTATATATCTTTCTTCTTTCTGCCATCACTCCCTGGGATTAAAGGCTCGATTTCTGGGATTAAAGGTGTGACTCACCATGCTTGGCTGTATCCTTGAACAGATGGATTTCTGCCTCTTGAATGCTAGGATTAAAGGCGTGTGCTACCACTGCCTATCCTCTATGTTTAGTATTGTGGCTGCCCTGTTCTCTGACCCCAGATAAGTTTATTAGCATGCATTATATTTTGGGGAACACAATACCACCACATTTCCCCTTTTTGTCTAAGAATTTAAAGAGCTTATAACTAATACAAGAAAAACTTTATCCAATATGTATATACAATACATACAGTCAAGAATTACCTTAATGATGTCTAGTCCATTAACAATTGACAGATTCAGACAAAAAACTTCATTAACATATAACAATGTCCATTCTAGTAACATTTGATAAACTC